TTTGAATACCTCCAACCTGGTGTGGCTTTGTGGGTTAATGCTCCATACCACAAAGTTGTTTGAACCAGAAGTTCGGTGTTTCAATCTCACCAGTCGCTCCTCAGAAATCCTACTGTGGGACTCATCTTCCAGCACTATATCAGAGAAGTTCCTCCATTATTCATAAGGTTTTCAGCAACTAACCATTCAGAAGTGTCCTGCTTCTCCTTCTTAGTCTGTGTTAGCCTGGAAGCTTCACTAAAATATGTCCATTATGAGTGACGCTGCTGGTTTTGAATGTTCTGTTGGCATAGCTCCCAGCATCACAGCAACACACAAGCCAACTTTGAACCACAAACTGACAGAAGAGTGGTGGGATACTAACATTATCAAGAATACAATGAGCATTCTGTAACACTTACCCTTGAAATTCTTCAACTCTATTTGCTGCACTATACATTCCTGGGCTTCCACTGTACTGTAGAACAGAGTAGAATTGCCCCCACAGAGTTTCTGAATCTGTAAATCTTTATAGAAGTATAAAGCCTTAGCTTTCTCCTGCAACTGATGGATTTGAACAGTGGACCTTTTGGTTAGCAGCCCGCACTTTCACCACTGCACCACCAGGTGCCATATCCATTGACTAGTCATTATAGAATGTGGTTTATGTGATCTATAGGCACGTTGGCCTATCTGTTCTTTCACCCTAATACCAGGAGGTATTCTGGTCATGTGTAACATTGAGGCTTAACCCAGTTACCTTCTACAGACACTGCAATATAGCTAAAATGGACAAAATTTTTTGTACTTCTTATGACAAGCCTATTCGTTGTTGCTGGTTTTTTTGCTAGGCCACCAAACCTTTTCCAGCAATTTATTCATATTTATTCCTTATTCAGTGCCTCAATTCTTCACTCTTTGTTTCTTGTTCCCTCTAGTCCTCTAGGTATTTTGCCTCTGGTCCTACCCCAAAACACACAGGGACAAATCTCTTCTACAACGCAACTCAAAGGTTTCCTGTGAACTATTATATAAAACTTAAAAGTCTTTGCTTGTTATTCATAGCCCTTTATAACCTGATCCTGCTGTACAGATTAAAAATTGATTTCTTATCCAACCTTAGTTTCAATTTATCTTTCTACTAAACCATCGTTTGCTAAATTGTAAAAGCAAAACCATTTTTGTTGAGTTGATTCTGACTCATAGTGACCTCTTTATTTTCAGAGAAAAACTTTGTTCCATTAGGTTTTCAACGGCTGATTTTTCAGAAGTTCTTCTGAGGTGCCTGCGGCATGGACTAGAACAGTCAACCTTTCAGTTAGCCATTGAAAGAATTAACCATTTGCACCACCCAAGGACTCTACTCGATTATAGTTCTTTATCAGCCCTACTTTTGAGATGTCATTTGCTTCTTTTCTTTGCTGCCATTTTATATATGCTTCTATGAAGGAACTACTGCCCTGCATTGTAATGATTTGTTCTGTTTTATTTTATGTTGGTATGTGTGCCCAGCTAGACTAAGTTTATCAAAGTTACCAGCTTTTTCTTAAATATCTTCTTTTTCTGGATACAGTGTCTAAGTTTAATAGGTATTCTAAATATGGATGAACTGATGGATAGGTTGCTATGTCTAACCACCTGACAATTCATTACAGAACTGAAAGCACCTCTCTTGATAGTGGGGCCTTGACCAATACTCATTTTGCTTTGACTGTTCATTTTTCTTAATTTCTTTTTCTAATCTGTGTATTTTTTTTAAGGTACCTTTAGTTGAACAACTCTTCCGCAAAGAGTTCAAACCATTTTTGAAGAAATGGTATCCTGTTATTGGATTAAGTGGTGATACCAAACTTAAAATAACGTTTCCAGAAGTTGTCAAATCCTATGATGTTATTATTAGTACAGCTCAAATTCTTGAAAACTCCATTTTAGACTCAGAAAAAGGAGAAGATGCTGGTGTTAAGTTGTCAGGTTGGTTAAGTGTTTCTTTTCATAAAAATAAAAATTAGTAATATCAATGATAGTAATAGGAGCTATTGTGGTGGTAGTTAAGTGCTGTGGATTTGGTTCTGACTCATAGTGACCCTGTATAGGGTTTCTGAGGCTATAAATCTTTACAGGAGCAGAAAGCCTCATCTTTCTCCCACAGAACAGCTGGTAGTT